ACAGGGGAGATCCAGGTGCTCCAGGGGCTGCCCCGTGTGCCCCTTGCCTGTCCCAGCCCCCAGCAGGGACATTCCACGATGCCCCAACCTGCACTGCTCAGGATGCACATGGAGGGGGTGAAGGGGATCTCGTGTGCAGAGACCCCCAGGAGCCCCCTGAGCCTCTCTGCTCATGGCAGGGGAGCGGCCAGAGAGGCACCGGGTGTGCAGGGGCTGGAGAAGGAGGGGACAGGGACATGGGAATGCAGGCATGGAGATGGGAACACACCCATGGAGATGGGAACACACCCATGGAGATGGGAACACACACATGGAGATGGGAACACACCCATGGAGATGGGAACACACACATGGAGATGGGAACACACCCATGGAGATGGGAACACACACACAAGATCAAGCAGAGTAGCTTTGCTGAAGGCATTTATTGATCATTCAGGGGAAATGCCCCTGGGCTCTGAGGGAAATCAGGGGGTTCTTCCAGGGATGATCATCTCCTCATGCCACTGGAGGGGGACAGGGCACGGGTGTCACCACCAGTCCTGAAAGACAGAGCCCCAAACGTCACCCCCAAAGTCCACTGCAACACGAGAGGGGCCTTGTCCTGACCCCTCTCCCTGCAGGCACTGCTCACCTCAGCCATCCAGGGATGCAGCCACGCCTTTCTCACCAACAGGACCCACCACCTTCTCAGCCACAGGGGGCTGGGGACAAAGACAGGCTCAGAGACACACTGGGTGCAGTGGGATGTATTGGGAGCCTGGGGGAAGAAATGGGATCCTTGGGGAAGGTGCACTGGGGTATACTGGGGCAGACTGGGATGGCTAAGGAGTGTCATGGCCATGTGAGGGGAGGACCCGACTCAGGCAGAACTCCTGGTACCCACCTGAACCATCTTCAGGATCCCAACGTCCACTAAATGCAGCTGGAGAGAGACCAGGAGCCCTGGTTGGTCACTGGGATGTCCCTGGTGCCAGCGAGGGATGGGGGGACCAAAGTGTCCCCCAGTTCCCAGACTGGATGCCCTCCAGTCCCCCCCGGCCCACTCACCTCCCGCAGATCATTTTGGGTTCCTGCCAAGAGTGCCTGGACAAGGAGAGCAAAGGGTTGCTCAGGATTGGCCCCTGTGGGGCTGGGGGAGGGACACGGGTGTCCCCAGCCCCCCCAGCCCATGGCTGCCCCGGTCTGAGGGGGAAAATCCCTTCTGCTCCCCCCGCTCCCACTGCACCCAGTTTCACCTCCAACCCCTGTTCCTGCAGGGCCCAGGGTGGGGATGGAGACAAGGAGAGCCAGGGGAATTCAGGGCCTGCAGGGAGGGTGGGGGGAGGTTGGGGGGGACCCAAAGATGCTGAACTGGGGGGAACTGGGGAGCCCACGGGACTGGGATTGGGGTGTTGAAGGGGCCCTGTGTGGGATGCAGGGGAGGGGAAAGGAATTCAAGTGTAGGGACATGGGGACTGCAAGGGAGAGGCTTGGTGGGGACAGGAGGAGGAGGATGGAGGAGGACAAAAACGAGGGCACTGGGAGATGGTTGGGAGTGGAGAGGGAGGCAAGGAATGGTCTTGGGAGGTACCAGGGCAGTGTTCTGGGTGAAAGGCAAAGGTCTGGAAAGAAAAGCTTTGGGAATGATCAATGGGAGGATGTTTGGGGATCCTGGGTAGGACACAGAGCAGATGCTGGGGAGGTGATGCCTGAGGGGACCAAAAAGGATGGGATTGGGAGGTCCAAGGGGTGGGATTTGGGAGCACCATTAAAAGAAACAGGTGGGGGCCCTCCCAGCAATTGACAGTGGACCTCCCTTGTCAGGGATGGCTGAATGGCTTCCTGCCGTTGCATCTTTCATTTCTTATCAAAAATCACCCAAATAGTTTTCAAACAGTGCCTGCCAGTGGAGCTTGAAGGCACTCGTTCCATCAAAGCCATATCTGTAATTCAGAGGCATAAATAGAGAATGTAGATTTGTCTCCTAAGGTGCTGTCTCAGTTCTACTAGATGTCAATTAGTATCATGTAAAACATGATCATTAAAATTAAAAACTCTTACCCTTCTATTTCCCTTTGAAAAATAATTCCGGTGTTAAAACTCTCACTTCTGTTTGATTGTTTAAAATCAAAATGAATGTGTGTACTAGTGGACACAGACAGGGCTCCCTCACAGAGAAGCCCATGAAGTATGGGCTGGATGAGCAGACAGCAGGCTGGTTGAAATCTGCTGGCCAGGGTGGTGATCAGGAGTGCAACATCCAGCTGGAGGCCAGTGATCAGCAATTCCTGGTGAACATCTCCATTGATGATCTGGATGATGGGATATAGTGCTCAAGTTTAATGGAGTTGATGAGTTTACATTCCGACTGCAAGGGACATGTTTTCACATCTGAAGCAGGGGATGGGAAATCAGAGACTCACTGTGAACACCAAATGATTTCCAGAGCCTTTCCAGAGCATTTCATTCAAATCTGGGAATTTTGGATTAAAAAATCACGGTGCTCCTCCATTACTCTGGAAAGGGGATCCTGGTCTGTCAGAAGTGAGGACATTGCTGAATCTGAAAGCTGGAGAAGACAACAAGAAATGTGTGACCCTCCAGAGGATGAAAGCCCTGGATGAAGTTGTCAAGAAGTTCAGACCCAAAGCCTTTCGAGTTTTATGGTTGTGTCTTAACATTTCTTGAAGTTTTTCCCTTGTTTGTCCCCTGAAATTGTTTGATGAAAAATCCCCTTGATGTCTGTATCCTTAGACTCCACTCCCTGATTGGCCAAAGTTTGCTGCATTGCAGTATTTCCTTTTTGGCCACCCTTTCCCTAAAATGGATAAACCCTACCCCCTTTTTCCCTTATCTAGTTACACTTTGCATGCTGGGGTCCCATCTGGGGTGCCAAGAAGAGCTGTGCTTTGGTACCAATTACCTCTGAAGCTGCTCCTATGCCTTCATAGGCTGCTAAGATTTCCTTCTCCACAGGGGTGGAATTGGCCTCAGAACCTCTGTAGCTTCGGCTCCAGAAACCCAGTGGTCGCCCTCACGTCTCACCAGGCACCTTTGGCCAGAGGCTCCAGGAGGGACCTTTATCTCCAGCTGCAGAGTAGAGCACATTCTTTACATCTGGTCCTGTCCTGACTGCTCCAAGAGCCACGGCATGTGCAATCTCTTGCTTGATCTGCCTGAAAGCTTGTTGTTGTTCAGGACCCCACTGGAAATTGTTCTTTTTACGGGTCACAAAGGAAAGAGGGCTCACCATCTGGCTGTACTCTGGGATGTGCATCCTCCAGAAGCCAATGGCTCCCAGAAAAGCTTGGGTTTCTTTCTTGTTTGTGGGTGGAGCCATTGCTACAATCTTGTGGATGACGTCTGTTGGTATCTGGTGTCGTCCATTTGCCATTTCAGCCCTAGGAACTGGATCTCTTGGGCAGGGCCCTTGACCTTACTCTTCTTGATGGCAAAACCAGCCTTGAGGAGAATCTGGATGATCTTCTGTCCTTTCTCGAAAACTTCTTCTGCTGTGTCCCCCCACACAATGATGTCATGGATGTACTGGATGTATGGATGGGGGTCACAGCATCTCGGTTCCTCCGATACTGTTGCCTGTGTACAGTTGTCGTGGCCCTTGGCACTTCTTGTCCCCAGAGCTCCAGCGATTCCTTTCGTACAACAAGGGGACCAATGCAGCACCACCTCTCCAATTTTAAGTAGCATTTTCGCTGCCTTCACCACTAGGATCATTGTCACTGAGCAATGTAGGGATGGGTTAGAGCTGATCTTGGAGTCTTTGCTACCAAACCTTGAAGGCCACCATTAAGGAAACTGGCTACTAGGTCGTGGATGTCCAAATTAAGGAAAGGAAGCAATTTGTTCCATCCATCTGAACGGTCCCTTACAGGATGTCCTAGGACAGGCACAAAAACAGCAAGAATCAGGAAAAAAATTAGTAAAAAGACCATTGTTATTATTTTTCTTTCTCCTTGTTCCTAAACAAAGCTATGTTTAGATAAACACAATCCTTCTTGGCAGCTCTCCCAGGAGTGTCCCAAAACAATGGTGGATGTTTACAAACAAACCTGCTCTTGGCAGCTTTCCCAGACAACGTTCCCACAACAAAACCAAAGGAACCAAAACAATCCCACTTCTGACACCAAAACCATCTGTAGCCAGTTGGAGTTGGCTTCCTGCCAAACCCCACAGACTACAGAAGATTACTACGTGTAAATTTAGGGTAGAACTTAGGTGGGAGGTTCCTGTGCCACAGTGCTCTTGCCCACAGTTTCTCTTGGGAAAGAATGGAGTTCCACAGCTCATTGCTTCCATTTCAATCTTTTTTGACCACTCTGGAAAATCTGGACAAACCTGATGAGCAGAAGTCTTGGGCTTTACCACAGGTGTCTGGGTGGTGTTCTGAGAGCCAGACTTCTGCTCAGTCCCAAACTGATGCCAAGATGTCCCAGGCCAGGTGAATCCAGAAGTGGACTTGCAGCCAGAAGTCCGCTGACAGCGCTGCTTGGGACTGCAGATCTGCTTCTGTGGCGCTCCAAAAAGAGCTTGGTGTTGGCCACTGCAAGTCTCTCAGTAGCTCTGAAACATTCACAAGCACACACAGAGTCATCTTTGGCAGGAAGGCTTTCGCAAAGTTACCCTCCACAGCCTTGGCTACTACTCGACTTCTAAAAGCCAAGGGCATGAAGAGCGTCCAAAACCAGCACATCCTTTGATCTGAGCTTGTTCACAGGGCCTGTTTCTAAGAAATCACACCAAGTGCAAGGAGTAGGCAGTGTCACCTCCAGAAGAACTCTGGCCTACCCTGGCCTTCTCAAGGAAAGCTCAACCCTCAGACCCGCTGCCAAAACAGAAGCCAAGAAAGAGCCGCCTTATTTTGGATTCACAGAATCCAACTCTCTTCTCCCAGAGGCCTCTCCTTATTCAAACAGGAAAGGGCACAAGATTCATCTTTTCTGTCACCCACGGGATGAGGAGAGTAGAGACTGGCAGAAAGACTGCCTGCTAAAACAACCTCAACTTGAAAAGACACCAATAATGCCATAGTGGTGGTGCTGTGGGGTTACTGCTGGAACTCTAAAGAGAAAGGAAGACAGGTCTGAGGAAGGGAAGGGTCTGAAGGAACGTTCCCCACAAAGATGCCACGTTCTGCTTTCACACCTGACGCTGGCCAGATGTAGAAAAGGGATTTCCAAGGAAAATGCAGGAGGAAAAAGGAGTCTGTTCTTACCAGTCCAAAAAAGCACGGACTTACCTTTCCAGTCTCTTGGCGAAGCTTTTTCTTCTTTGGGCTTCCACCAGATACAGCTCTTTGTACTTGTCCACTTCTGCCTGGGTGGATTCCTTTTGAAAAGGTCTTTCTGCTTGGTTGCTTTTTGTCCTTCCCAGTGCACGTTCAAGATCTCTAATTCTGTCTTCCAGCTGCTTTTTCAGTGAGTCCACATGACTGGTTCTGATTTCTTCTAAGGTGTCCTGGTGGGCTGCCTGTGCCTGAAGGAGACAGTGCACCTTCAACCACCACAAGAAAAAGAGAGCTCTGCCCAGCACAAAATTGCACACACCCACTTTCAAGGGCCCAGCCTTACTCAGAGAGGTGGCTCTGCCTCCTCACTCCCAGCAGCAATCAAGGCAGAACCCAGGAGCTACCAGGGCAAACAATTCTTTTCATTGGGAAAGAAGCCCAAATGAGCACTCTGCTTCAAAGCTACTAATGAAGAGACACTGGGTCTGTAGGACAGGGCATGTCCAAAGGGATTCTTCAAAGACAAGAAGAGCTTCCACCTCCACCTCCACCCCCTCCCTCCCATCCCTGGAATTTCAGTGACTCCTTTTCTGAGCACTTTCACCCCCTACAAGGACAAAGCAGCACCTGTAGGTCTGGCCATGACAGCTGCAAGTTGCCAAACCCATTCAAGGATGAGCAGTGAGAAGCAGAGCAGCGCACAGAGATCCCCCCAAGCACTGCAAAGTGGGAATCTGCCTTGGGCAGCCTTTGCATTCAGGGACCTGCCGGCACATTCCACACCCATGACAGCACTCCTGCCCAACCAGATTGCCTTCTGCCACTGCCTTCAGCAAAGACAGAAGCTAACCCACAGAATACAGGAGCAAAAGAAAAAGACCAAACACCATGGCCACAAGAGAAGTTTAGGAAGTGCCTGTGGACACTGGGGAGAAATTCACTTACTTGCAAAAACTCATTGACTTCTTGGAGTTTTTGTCTTATTTCCTGGTCTGCTTGTTCTTCCACCTCTCTTTTACACTGTTCGAGTTGGCTGCGATCCACCACGTTGGTCTCCAAATGATGGTGGAGTTTTGCCAGCTCTTCTTGCAGCTGGCATTTGTCCATGGCCAGGTTCTCGCACTCCCCACGCAGGGTAGACAGCTCTTCTTGCAAAGCCTGATTTTTGGCCTCCAGCTGCGTGCACTGTTCACGTTCCCTGTCCAGCTTCTGGGAAAGTTCAGCAACCTGCAGACAGAAAATAAAAAAAGGAGCTCAGCGTGGTGTAAAGGCAGTGAATTCTGGGAAAATCCAAAACTGGGTGCCCAGGGAGACTTTATTCATCATCTGCTGGCTCAGGACTAGACACAAAGTGCAACCAGGCTTTTCTTTTCCAGCAAGAACAGCTTTCCCATCATTTCTCATAGGATTCCTCAGCTTCCCAGCCTTTTGGAGTTCCTCATGCAAAAATGCTCCACGCTTCTGGACTCCAAAGGAATCACTGCAAAGGCAGGAAGCCATTCTACAGGGATGCCTTCAAACCCAGGCGTGACTCTGACAGACGCCGCTTTAGCAACGGATCCGAGTGACGAGCGGAGAAGGGATGAGAGGTTCTGTGCCACTGCTGCACAGGCAGAGCAGCCTCAAAAGCACTGCTGGGAACAGCCCTTCTGGCTCCCCACCACAGGATGGGCTGAAACAGCTCCCTGTGAGCAAGAAGGGACAGATTTTCCCCTGGGAGGCCCCTGTCCTCCTTGGGCCCTGGGCAGCAACAACACTGTGCAGAAAAGCAAAGCCTCAAGTGCCTCCTGCTCAGCTCGTGCCTGAGACAGGGCTCAGGGGCTGATGGTGCCCTGCCAGTGACAGTGCTGTTCCTCCCCTCTCTGCCAGGGCAGCAATTCATCTGTCACACCCAGAGGACGCTGTCACAGCCTCCCTCCAGCTGCAGCCAGGCCTCAGCTGGGCCCCACTGCTCTCAGCCCATGGACGTGATGTCCTGCCAGGACGGCAGACCTGCCCATCCCTAGGGCCCAGCCGAGGGATCTGCACTCTTGGCTGACCCCGCTCACTGTCAGGGGGCCTGTTCTGCTCTTCTTGCTCAGGGCCTGTGGGACGGCTCCCTGGCCCGGGAGCTCACGCACCCTGCCAGGCTGGCTGCCACTCCTGGCTTGCCCCTCCTCTGCAGGACAGCCTGGCCTCCATCAGCCCTTACACCTACTGCTTTGCCCTCAACATTTGCATCTTTCCCCAGAAGGAGAACTACCCTGGATTAGTTCGAGTCATCTCCCACTGGAACAGCAGGAGGAGCATTAAGAAAAGCCCATCACATCCAAAATGCAACCAAGGGGAATAAAAATCATCAGCATGACAAGAAACAGAGGGAAAGCATCTCCCAGCTTTCAAAAGAAGGAACACCACAACCAAAAAGCCCCACCCAGAGCGCAGCTCACCTCTCTTTGGAATCTATCAACTTCCTTGACCTTTTCAGAATATCTCTTCTTCATTTCTTCCAGCTGGGACTGACTTCCTTTCTCTTCATTAACCCGGAGTTTCCTGCTCTCTATCCTCAGAAGCTTTTCCAGCCTGCACAGCAAATTAGTGAAGAAAACCATGAAACACAGGAAGAACCAGCCTTTCCCCCACAGTCTCACAGAAACAGCACAGACAGCATCCAAGCCTAGAATGGCTTGGCTTGGCAGGGACCTTAAAGATCATCCAGTTCCAAGCCTCCTGCTCTGGGCAGGGACACCTTCCACCAGACCAGCTTGTTCACAACCCCATCCAACCTGGCCTTGAACACTTCCAGCCATGGGGCATCCACAGCTTCTCTGGGCAACCTGTTGCAGTTCCTCACCACCCCCACAGCAACCAATTTCTTCCTAGGATCAAATCTAAACCTACTCTCTTTCCATTTGAAGCCAATCCCCCTTGTCCTCTCACTACCTGCTCTTTTAAATGCACTCTCTCCATCCTTCTTGTAGGCTCCCTTCACACCCCAAAAGGCCACAATTAGGTCACCCCAAAGCCTTCTCTTTTCCAGGCTGAAGTGTTGCAATTGTCCCAGCCTTTCCTCCTAGCAGAGGTGCTCCATCTTTCCAAGCACCTTGGTGGCCTCCTCTGGGCTCAGCCCAACAGCTGGAGGTCCTTGCTGTGCTGAGGAGCCCAGAGCTGGATGCAGCACTCCAGCTGGGCTCTCCCAAGGGCAGAGCAGAGAGGCAGAATGCCCTCCCTCCACCCGCTGGCCACGCTGCCTTGGACACAGCCCAGCACACAATTGGCTTTCTGGGCTGCGAGCGCACATCGCCGGCTCATGTCCGGCCTCTCCTCCAGCCCAAGGGCTTCTCGGCAGGGCTGCTCTGCCCCTCTTCACCCCCCAGCCTGCACTGATACAGGGGCTGCCCTGAGCCACGGCCAGCATCTTGCACTGGCTCTTGGTAAACCATCAGCAGATTGCCATGGGCCCACTTCTCCAGCTTGTCCAGGGCCCTCTGGATGGCATCAGCTGTGTCAACCACACCCCTCAGCTTGGTGTCAGCTGCAAATTTGCTGAGGGTGCACTCCATCCCTTCCTCTGGATCATTAGTGAAGACATTAAAGAACACTGGGCCCAGTCCAGACCCCTGAGGGACACCACTCGGCACTGATGACCCTCAGCACTCTGAGCCATTGATCACCACCTCTGCATGGCACTGTTCACCCAATTTCTTCTCCATCTAACAGTCCACACATCCAATCTATCTCTCTCCACTTTGGAGAGAAGGATGTTGTGGGGGACTGTGTCAAAGGGTTTCCAGAATGACAGGGAGATGACATGGGTAGCCCTTGTCCACTGAGGCAGTCACTCCATCTTAGAAGGCCACCAGGTCGGTCAAGCAGCACTTGCCCTTGGGGAAGCTGTGCTGGTGCTTCCAATCACCTCCCTGTCATCCACGTGCCTTGACAGAGCTTCTAGAAGGATCTTTTCCATCACCTCCCCAGGCACAGAGGGCAGGCTGACACGTTGGCAGTTCCCAGGGCCCTCTTTTCTACCCCTTTCAAAGATGGGCACAGTGGGTTTCCCTTTTCCCCCTCACCTGGGACTTCCCCTGACTGCCACGACTTTTCAAATATCAAGGAGAGGGTCTTGGCAACTCCATCAGACCCTGTTGGCCAATGGAGGGCAATAATGCTGGCCAGATGTAGAAGATGGATTTCCAAGGAAAATGCAGGAAGAAAAGGACTCTCTTATTACCACTCCAAACAAGCACGGACGTACCTTTCCAGTTTCTTGTCAAGGCATCTTCTGGTTTTCATTTCCTCCAGATACAGCTCTTTGTACCTTTCCATCTCTCCCTGTGTTGCTTCTTTACGAGAAGCACTCTCTTCTTGGGTGTTTTTGATCCTCTCCAATTCACTTTCCAGATTTCTAATCCTTTCTTCCAACTGGATTCTCATGGAATCACAATGACTGTCTCCAGTTTGTCCTAGTGGGGCCTGGTGGGCTGCCTGTGCCTGAAGGAGACAGTGCACCTTCAACCACCACAAGAAAAAGAGAGCTCTGCCCAGCACAAAATTGCACACACCCACTTTCAAGGGCCCAGCCTTACTCAGAGAGGCGGCTCTGCCTCCTCACTCCCAGCAGCAATCAAGGCAGAACCCAGGAGCTACCAGGGCAAACAATTCTTTTCATTGGGAAAGAAGCCCAAATGAGCACTCTGCTTCAAAGCTCCTAATGAAGAGCCTGTGGACACTGGGGAGAAATTCACTTACTTGCAAAACGAGGCTGACCTCTTGTAGCTTTGCACTTCTTTCCTGGTCAGCTCCTTCTGCCACCTCTCTTGTACACTGTTCTCTTTGGCTGCCATCCAGCACCAAAGTCTCCAAATGGTGGTGGTGTTTTGTCACCTCTTCTTGCAGCTGACATTTGCTCTTCTCCAGTTGTTCACACTTCCCAAGCAGAGTGGACAGCTCTTCTTGCAAAGCCTGGTTTAGGGCCTCGAGCTGCATGCCTGTTCCAGGCTCCATGTCCAGCTGCTGGGAAAGTTCACCACCCTGTGCACAGAAAAAAAAAAGAAAAGGAAACTCAGCGTGATCTAAAGGCAGTGAATTCTGGGAAAACCTCTCAAGGGGGTGGCCATGGCAACTGTATTTATCATCTACTGGAAATGAGCCTAGGAAACACTTGAAAGATTCCCCGACAGAAAGAAGAAACTTTACACCTACTTAAGAATTTGGGAGACACTTCTGGCAACAATACTTCTGGGTCCCTTGGAGCTCATGATGAAACTCCTAATTTAGAATCTAAGAATTCCTCCAGTGTCCAGCACACCAAATACCCTCAGGGCTTTTGTAGCAGCTGGGGAAAGGACCAGGCTGCTTTCTGAGCAGCCTCTGCTGAGGAGAAGGCAGAAACTGAGCTCCCCAGGCTCTCCAGGAAAACTTCATCTGACAGTTGCCCCACAGAAATAGGCAACTAGGCTCAAGAGTCACAAAAAGGCAAATTTAGGACCAGCTTACTGAGGCAGAGGCTTGCAGGGCTCTCGGAAGGGCTTCAACGCTCTCGCTTGGCTGCTGGACAGTGGCTTCCAATCTGCTGTTCTCACTTGCAAAGCTTAAGAAGAAATACAGCTTTATTACCAGAAAAGCCAATGCCAGACAAACTGTGCTAAGGAACAGAAGCCACAGCAGAAGTGTCCTTCAAAATCCCACTGACTCTCCCCCTGTTTCCACCCAATCCCCAAAGCCACAGACCCCTCGCTTCACTGGGTTCCTCTCTTACTCTTGCGCGTCTTCTTCCAGTTGGTTCACAGTCGGATTGGTCTCACAAGATGCCAACAGGAGGTCCTGCAGTTTCTGGGAGGAAGTTACTGCCTCTCTTTTCTTGGCATCCAAAGCAGTCTTCAAGTCAGGAACACAATGCTCAGACTGAAGATGCTTTTCTTCCTCCTCCTGCAGCTGTAAAATCACGGGAAGAATGCACAGTTGTCAGGGGAGCTTTTCCAGAGAGGAGCCAGCTGCTGCTGAAGAACTCAGGTGCTGCATGTCTGTGTGCATCCCCTCTGCCCAAAGAACTGCAATCCATTCAAGTCCCTTCAAAGCTTCACTTCTGCTCCCCAACGAACACACTGAACACTGTTTTGTCCGTTTTCAGGATGGATAGGAAGCAACAGGCACCCCCAGGTTTCTCCCTGTGGGGACAGGCTTTCCATACCTCCGCGCCAGCCCTGTCCAGCTCCTCCTGCAAGCGCAGATTATCTTCCTCCAGGTGAGCCTCAGGGCTTCCAGGAACCACAAGAGCAGTCCTAAAGCATGCAAAATTTCATCGGAAACATGTCTGATCCTGCATCAGTTTTCCCCTGCTTGCTCCCAAAACAGCTCTTCCCCCCTTTCCTACAAGCTCCGGGAAAGCAAAGCCAAGTCCATGGAAGCATTGGAGAATTTCTCTTACAAGGGGCCTCCCTAAAGCAGCCTCAGCTACCAGCTCAGGCCATGCTGTTCAGGGCTCCTTGCACTGCTCTTCAAAGTCCCCCCAGATGTGGCTGCACAAACTCCCAGGGCAAGCCCTTCGACCCCCTGACCATCTCCATGGCAGGAAGTTTTCTCCTTCTGTGCGCTCGGAGCCCCTCGTGTCCCCTGGGACAGTGTTGGTTCTCTTTCCCCCAACGCTTCCCTTCAGAGCACTGAACGCACCGACTCTGCCGTGCCTTAAACCCCCCTGGCCTGCAGAGCAGCCACGCTGCTGAGCTACTGGCAAGTTTCCCCGGGGCTCTGGCTCTGGGTGGGGAGAGGGCACCACAGACAAGGCTTTCTTGCAGACCTCAGCGGGCAAAGGACGAGAGCCCCTGAGGTAGGAGAGCAGCCAAGGGCAGACCTGCATTTACCAGTCCCACGGGGAACTGCTTCCACGGGGCTGCTCCTTCTTTTTCCCAGCTCATTGCCACGCCCCTCGTCTGGGTCACACTTGCAGACTACCCAGAACACCCGGGTGCTGTTTTGACAAAGCCCTCACCTTTCCCCCTGGGCTTGAGCAGGCCTGTCAGCTGCTTTGTTCACAAGGCACTCCAGAATCTCCTCGTGCTGTTGCAAGGCTGCAAGTTTCAAGGGGGTAAATCCCCACTAAAAGGAGAAAGAATCCCCATTAGAAAGACACAGACAAGCTCTGCAGCTGTTGGAAAGAGCAGCTTTAGCCCCGTGCCAAGGTTACCTGGTTCTGAGCATCACTGTTGGCATGATGCTCCAGTAACAGCCCTGCTACAGCTGTGTTTTTAGAGAGGGCAGCCAGGTGAAGGGCAGTGTTGCCGTCAGCGTCTGCCAGATTGGGGTCGGCACCGTGTTCCAGCAGAACAGCAACACATTCTTCCTGCTCCTGCTGGACTGCCTGGCAACAACACACCAAAAGGGAAAGACTCCCAACTTTTCATCCCCCTCTGTCACAACTCCCTCAGCTCCTGAGTGCTGCCATAGAAGACCATCTTCAAAGATCAGCTAACAGAGGCTGTGCCGTGCCCATTGCAATAGGTGTGTTTCTATGGCCCTGCCCTGCAAGGAATCCTGCCAGACACCTCCCCTTTAACACCCCAGCACTAAGCCCCACCTCCAAGCTCAGAAGGCATTGCACACACCTTCATCAGGGCCGTTCTCTTGAAGCTGTCAGCGAGGTTGGGCTGGCTGTTCTTCCTTAGCAGATATCTGACGACATCTGCATGGCCATTGGCCGAAGCCAGATGCAGAGGTGTCCTAAAAATTAAACAGACTCTCTTAACCCAGACAGACAAAGGATGAGCCCAAGCTGTGTCTGTACCCAACACCCTGGGGACCCTGCCCGGACTCTGCTCCTGCTGCTGCTGCTGCTGCTGCTGCAACCCTGCCCTGATGAGCCAGAGGGCAGAAGAGAACAGGTGAGGGCTGAGCAGCTGCAGAACAGCCCTGCAGAGAGAGCACGGCCAAGGGGCAGGTGGGCAACACGCGTTTGCAGCAGCGCTGGAGCCCGGGCGGCAGCTGCAAGCAGTGAAAAGCTCAAGAGTTCCCTGTCCCAGCTGACAGGGCAAATGTCACTTTTCAAGCCTTGTCCCTAAGAGAGGGCTGCCGAGGACTACTGCAGCTTGGCTCAGGAGCAGGCAAGGTGTGCCATCAGCGTGGCCCAGAACTCACCGCATCTCCTGGTCTGGCCTGTCGATGCCGACTACCTTGACGTACCAGCGCCAGCGCCTCAGCCAGCCCAGGTCACCGCGGGCGGCCGCGCGGTGCAGCCTGCCCAGCCCCTGCTCCCGGAGCTGGGAGGCGCTGCTGGAGCTGGTGGCAGCCCAGGGCTGCCCACTGGGGCTGCTGGAGGGCGACTGCCGTCGCTTCTTGCTCAGAAGCCACGGCATGGCCCTGCTTGGAGCTCCCAGCAGCAGGAAGGGCAAGAAGGCCCCGGCGGGCTGCCGGGAGCCAAGTGGGGATGAGGAATGGGACGGGGCGAGGTTTAGGGGGAGGGTGACAAAGGGGCGAGAATAAGGACGGGCACAGGGTATGAAGCACAAGGCAGACGAGGTCGCCCTGCGCAGTGGTCGTGGCCTGCAGCTGCCAAGACGGCGATGCAGGCGCGCAATGCTCCCCGAGCGGGATGTGCTGCTGCTCCCCGAGAGGCTACAGCAGCTCTGAGCGCCGGCTGCGGGCACCAACAAAGCCGTGCCCGACTGGCGCCTGTGGCGTCACAATGGCTGGTGGAAGGCTCAGCACGTCAGCGTGGGGTGTGACAGAGGCCACGGGGCAGGGTGGGGCCGGGCGGGACAGGGCAGGGCGGGGCAGGTGTGAGGGCGGCCCTGCTGGGCCTTGTGGCAAGGAGGCGGCCTGGGCCTTGTGAGGGCGGCCGGCGGGAGTGGGCACTGCCCCGCCTCAGGGCGCCCGGGGCAGGGCCCGGGACGCTCCCACCGGGCCGGAGGCTGCGGTAGGCGCTGGAGCAGCTCCCGCATCACCCGCTCTGGCTTTTTGCTTCAGCCTGGAGCCGGGCTGCCTCTGGACACACTGCCATCAAATGAGGCTCAGGAGGAAGTGGGGCCACCACAGCTCTCAAGAAATGCCCACCCAGCGCTCCAAGCCTGCCAGGCCAGAGTTCCAGGACAATTCCCCAACTCCTTTGTCTTGTCCCTCTTGAAGAGCAGACACCTCACCCCCTCTCCCCCTCACAACTGCTCTCTCCTGCTGCTTTGCCAGATGCCAACAGTGAATTTCTGCTCTGCTCCTCCACCAGCCAACGGGCAGCACGCAGCAGGGCAGGAAGAAACTTTCAAACACATCTTGTCCCACTTTGTCTCGATGACAACACCAACTGAAAGATCAGAGGTTCTGCACCAGCTTTCTCAGCGGAGGGACACTACAATGGACCACAAACAGGCTGAAGAAATTTCCCTTTTTCTTTATGGGCTACAAACTGATCTGCTTCCCACGGGATCAGGGATTTGCCTGTGTTTTAAGGCTACCAGGAGCTTACTCACTATCTTCTGCCCAGAACACAAAGAGGAGGGCTCGAAAGCACTGCAAGAGTCTGGCAACTGAGTAGTAGCAATAGCTCACCTGGAGGCCATGATCTTAACACCATTGTGCTTCAAGCCTTCCCGGAGGAAGGGCACACATTTGCCTGGCCTCTGGGACAGGCTGAAGATGCAGCTGTGAGCAGAGCTGAAGGGAGCAGAGGACAGCTCTGGCTCGGCCTTCAGGCCTGGCTTCTCTTTCGGCCTTGAAGATGTCTGCTGGACTGATTTGCACTCAGATGGAGGGCAGAGAGAGAAGTCTTAACTCCCAGCCTGGGAAGAAAGCCTGTCCCAGAGGCAAGCAGAGGGAAGAAGAGGGGACAGCCTTGGGATGGGGGAATGGGAGAAGCAAAGCCGGCAGGGGGAACAGAAGAAAACGAGGACACATCCTGGAGTCTTGATGGCGACTGCCGTTGGTTCTTGCGGAGGAGCCCCTCTATGCTGTGTGTGCTTTTGCACAGGCTGCACTGTGGGTATGGCCCTGCTCTGCTGGTGGCCACTGCTCACCCTCTGCACAGAATCACGGAAAGACTATCAGTCCCTGAAGAAGGGCCCTGGAATTCCCCCCACCTGGTGGATCTGTTTGGTGGAGGGTTCCTGGGTGGAATATGGGACAGACTAGATGGGACTGACAGGGTTTTGTTTTTCCCTGGGGCACCAGCAGACAAACAAATCCCCAAGAGTTGGGTGAATTCCCCTTCCCCCCGTTTCCCGGCACACACGGGAATCTGCTGAGGTTGGACAAGACCAAGGTGGTGCAGCCGGGTCAGGGCAACCCCCGGGATCGGTGCAGGCTGGGGGAGGAAGGGATGGAAGAACCTGCTGGGAGAGGGCTCTGGGGGTGCTGGTGGGTGACAAATGGGACACGAGCCAGCCCTCTGCCCAGAGCTGGAGGCAGCACTGCAGGGGGGTCTCAGCTGAGCGGAGCAGAGGGGCAGAACCCCCCTGCCCTGCTGCCCACGCTGTGGGATGAGCCCAGGACACGGGGGGGTTGTGGGCTGTGAGCTCCCATTGCTGGCTCCCATCCTGCTTTTCATCCCCCACTATCCCCATGGCCTTGGATGCAGGGCTGCTCTCCATCCCTTCAGCCCCGAGCCTGGCCCTTGAGATCTGGGGGCATTTGACACCCGCTGGCTCCTTTGATCCCCTTTCCCATCCCTCCCAGAGCACAGGGAAGGACTGAGGGGCCTTGGCTGATTGTCCCTGACCCTCCCCTGCCCCGACACCAAGCTGTGCTCCTTGGGGACGGTGCTTGGACAGCCCCAGTCAGACCCTGTTTCCCGCTGTGCCCCCAAACTGTGCCAGCAGTGCCAGGGCCTGTCCCTGCCTGTGATCCCAGCACGGACACGCAGCAGGACTGTGCCCAAGCTGCCGGAGCACTCAGGCCTTGCACCCACAGAGGGCTGGCAAGGGGAGTGTGGAGCTGCAAAGAGCAGCTGTGGAAAGAGCAGGAGCCCTTGGCCCTGGCCCTGCTGCTGGGCTGGGAATCTCTTCCCTCCTCCTCTGCACAAAGGCACTGCCCCTGCAGCTCCAGAGAAGGGCTGAGGAAGCATCTTGGACACACAGGTCACTGCAGGGCACTTGATTTTCTTGAAATACACAGGGATCGTGGCACCTCAGTGTGTCTGTACACAGCAATGGTAGGTACTGGTGTAGCAATGGAATGACTAATGACAGTCCTTTATGGAAAACAGTAACACAAGTGAAGAAAAAAAAGGAATGAAAATATAAAACACACCAATACAACAACAACAAAATGGACAACAACAAAATGGCACAAAGCAGTCTGACATCCTGGATGCTGTGAAGAAGAAAAAAGGCACTTCATTGCTTCTGAAAAGCATCCAGTCATTTTCCTCCAGGCACCCTTGAGGTCCTGGTTCCTCCTGGGGGGGTTCAGTGCTGGAGGCACCACCGAGTCCAGAACTGACCTCAGCAGTTCCAGCAGCGGGGAGGAGATGGAGGGGGGCTTCAGGTGGGCAAACCTGACAGTGCTGACAAACAGGGAGACCACAGCCAGGGGAGGGAGGCCCGTGGAAAAGGCTCTAAAAAACCCTCCCCGAAGTTCACTCCCTCTGCTCTCTGCACTTTGGGGTTCTGGGGGTCCCCCCGTTCAGGCTGTTGCAGGTCCCTCGTGTGTTGGGGGCCCCCTCTCCGGGTTCTGCCTTTTCCGGGCTGCTGGAGATGCCAGGAATCCCAGGGGTCCCCCCTCTCGGAGCCCCCTCTTCCAGGGGCCGGGGGTCCCCGGCCCCCCCACCCCTCTGGGCTCCCCCTCTCCGCGCTTCCCTCCCGCCCCCCAGGCTGCCGGGGGTCCCCCAGCTCCGCTGTCGCCCCTCTCTGCTCTCCCCACTCCGGGGGCCCTAAAAAAGGGGCTCGTCGCGTCCCCCCCCGCCGGCACCGGGCTGACAATGGGGGCGGCGGGGCCTGACCCCGCAACACCGACCCCCACCGCGGGGGGTCCCCGCATCCCCCCGCCCACCTCCCGCCTCTGCCGGGAACCCACCCCGGGATCCCCCCCAACAAAACACCAACGGACCCACCAGTAAGGGAAGCCCTGCAAGTGCCTCGACTGCGGGAAGAGCTTCATCTGCTGCTCCAACTCCATCACCTGTCGGAGGAATCACCTTGGGAACAGGTGACCCACATTCCCAGTGACCCACCTTGGGAACAGGCTTGGTGACCCACATTCCCAGTGACCCACCTTGGGAACAGGTTTGGTGACCCACATTCCCAGTGACCCACCTTGGGAACAGGTGACCCACATTCCCAGTGACCCACGTTGGAAACGGGCTTGGTGACCCACATTCCCAGTGACCCACATTGGGAACAGGCTTGGTGACCCACATTCCCAGTGACCCACCTTCGGAACAGGTTTGGTGACCCACATTCCCAGTGACCCACATTGGGGAGCCCCCTGGCTGGTGGACTGTGGCAGGATAGTCCCATGTGTGATTTGTGTGGGCACGGACCCAGTTACACACAGGACATGCAGCTGAATCAAATTTATTAAGAACAGCATGAGCTGATACAGACAGTCCAAACTGTGACACGTCATGACGTGACCTCTCAGCCAGTGACATTCGAGCACTCCTTGTGCATGTGCAGCAGAGCACCGAAGGAACTACAAGTCCCAGAGTGCCCTGTGGCACTTCCTATAATATAAATCGCTACATTTCCCCTTTATTATAATTAGAACGAGTTACAGAACAATTTTTAAACCTTTTTCCTAAACATTTCTTAACATAAACAAACTTTTCTTAAGCATTTATAAAAACCAGGGCCTAATGCGGTAAGGCCTTTATTAAAACTGGTCACAACCTTATTAACTGTGTCACTTTCAATTATTCAGGGTTTGTAAATGTGGTTTGTGTAAGACGTTTTATCTGAGGGTATTTGTGTAACTGGGAGAGAAGCATCAATTTTATCTCAAAGGGAAGTGTGTCAGGTTATGGATATTGTGTTCAATTGTATTTGCTGGGGTTGAGGTAGTGTTATTGTATGACTGTATTTTATTTAAGGCATCTCTGGCATAAAGTGGGTTTGAATTCACTCTCATACGTACGTCCACACAACGTTCCTCATTCATACGTAGGTGGCCACTTCTCAGTCTCTCCTCACACATGCACACTTAAGCCTTTTATTATGTCTCTGTACTTCAGTCACGTAGTTCAGGTCTGGTAGTGGTCATTAGTTATGTGTTTCTTCGATTCCAGTTTCTTCATCTGTCACTTCTGTTGATTGCTCTTGCTCTGAAGAAGGGCTAATATAAGGCCTGACACATCTGGAAGGAATCCATTGTAATTTACCTGTGGATACACAGGCATCTCCCCTCCCCCACGTTACGAGGTCCACTGGTCCTGACCATTGCCCTGATATTAAATATTTATCATGACTGGTGGTTTGGGAGAGGAAAGTACCTGAGATTCGTGTTGACACTCGTTACCTGCTGTGATCTGTGTCATCACAGTTTAAGAAATTTAGGACATATGACGCTTTCCACAGGTGTTCCTGGGACTATAGATAGATTCCCCCCTTTTTTGTTTTTGCAGCATTCCCTTCCATGTGCAGTGTGCTCTCTCCACCATAGTTGTCCCGTGGTTGAGTGTGGTCTGCCTGTGAAATAAAATATCCCCCAATCCATGAGAAATGTTTTGACCTTTGAGGAACAATAGGCAGGAGCATTGTCTGTCTTTGTGGTTTTTGGAATTCCCAAAGTTGCGAAGCAACTAAGCCAGTGTTGGAAAACATCCCTTGCCTTTTCCCCAGGGTGTGCAGTGGCATTTATGTGTTTGGAATGTGTGTCTGCTGTGACATGGACATACTTTAGCCGACCAAGTTCAGCTCTGTGAGTAACGTCCGTTTGCCAAATTCCATTGGC